CAGTGTTCTTAACCACTGAGCCATCTCTCCAGCCCCTATTCTTTTTATTTTTAATTTTATGTGTATGAGTGTATTGCCTGTATGTATGTGAGTGCACCCGTGTTGTGCAATGCCACGGAGGTCGGATTCCCCTAGAACTGGAGTTAAGGACGGTTCATAGCTGCCATGTGGGTGCTGGGAATCAAACCCAGGTCCTCTGTAAGTACAGTGTTCTTAACCACTGAGCCATCTCTCCAGCCCCAGAGCAGTCAGTATTCTTAACCCACTAAGCTGTCTCTCCAGGCTTTTCCATCACTTCTATTCCCCCCCACCCCTTCTACTTTTCCTTAGGCTGATGCAGAGGACAGTATTGGCATCTTCCCACTACAATATCTTCCTTATGCAGTCAGTTTCTTGAGTGGCAGATGGTTCAGCCTCAGTTGCATATCTTAGCACTCATGGTAAAAACCACCACCACCTGCCTAGGAACCCTTCCCATATACCCCATTCATGGAGGAGGCATGCCACTCCTTATTATAAGATGACCGCCACCTGTAATCCCCTGGCCGTTACTCAACCACATGGACCCTATCTTCAGATGGCTCAGCCTTAGCTGCAGGTCTCATTACCCATAGCAGAGGCCACATACCTGCTGCCATAGCCAGAAGGCAAGCCACTACATATCACCTGGGGAGGACTGCCATATGGGTACTGCCCTCATGACTGCTCCACCCTCAGATGGCTCAGCCTCAACTGCAGGTCTTATTACCTGTAGGAGAGGTATGCAGTTGCTTCTCCCAGACTCATTTTTGGTTCTGTCATGTCCTTATTTGGGGACCAAGTGTGACATGACTTCCTGAGAAGTCTACTTCTATTCATTCTGACAAAACAAAGAAACAATTCCACCCAGTCTAGTTAGTGAACCAATGAGTATAATTAGGGTTACTCACAGGAGCACAGACAGCTTTCAAGCAGTAGAGTTGTCCCCTGCCTCCCAGCAGTTGTTACCTGTTTATATGTCCTTGGGGAGCCTGTGCATCACCCCACAAGGGACTACTGATGAGCTAGATCCTGTAGGTGATCCTATAGCTGCTCTGATTTCAGGACAGCAATGGTCATGTCATGCCCAAAGAACAGAATTCCACAACAGGGACATTTTAGATCCAAATCATAGCAAGGCATGACAAAGGATCTGGTCAGGAACACTTTAGCTTTTACCCTAGATACTACTAGATACTACTTATAGTGTCAAGAGTAAATAAAAAAAAAAATTTGTCTCCCCTGTAGCCCCAGCTGGCCTGGAACTCACTATGTAGACCAGGCTAGCCTTGAACTCACAGAGATCCACTGCCTCAGCCTCCCGAGTGCTGGGCTTAAAGGCATGCACCACCAAGCCTGGCTAAGAGTAAATCAATTTTTCAGTAACAGAAGGAACTCACAAAAACCAAGAAACTTAACCCAAAAATTCACTTTCAAAAGATCGTTTGATGAAAAACCAAGGAAAAAGGCCTTCAGGCAGAGGTGCTGAAGACATAAGAGTTGTGTGTAATGACACGACTGATTCCCTGGCATGAGGTTGCAAGCCACGGTAGCAAATGTCAAAATGTTCCATGAGATGAGCTATTCAACCTTGGTAACAGAGGCCAGACCAAACAAGAATGATGCAATGCAGATGTTCAGATTAAAATGAGGCTTGATACATTCCTGGGATGAAAAAATATTTAATAAAACTGGGGTTAAGACAAAGTCCCTCATGCCACTCATCTCCTCACTATTGGCCAGGCCAAGGGCACCTGGAATCAGTCTGACCTCAAGGCAGATGCACTGTGTCTCCAGGTCCTCTCAGGGTGGTACTGAATAAGGCCAAGCCACAAAGTCAGAGGATACTCACAGGTACAGACTGGCAAAGCCCCACAGATACAGCCTGAGGAGCCCCACAGACACAGGCTGGAGGAGTCCCATACTGCAGGCCCAAGGAGCTTCACAGGTCTAGGGATCCCACAACAGGGAAGCCCAGATCAAGGAAGCAGTGGCTGTACAAGCCAGGCCTCACTCTTGCAGGAGCTTGTGCTTAACTGTAGTACTTTCCAAGCAGAGGTGTACAAAGAGGGTGCCAGCTGCAGTGCGGGCCCGCAGCTCCTGCAGTTCATAGTCATGGGCCCATTCAATGTTGCCCCATTTCTGGATCTGAGGAGAGGTAAAAACAAACTGCTGAGTGTGAGTGGTCTTGTCTGGCAACCTGCAAATGAAAACCACATTCCATTCCCATCACTGGGCTGACAGCAATGGTCTATGATCCTGTCAAACACATAAGACCCACGTGGGGCAACAGGTTATAACATCTAGGAGAGTGGAGCAGCTCCTTTGCTGTCTGGGGCATACATAGATGGTCTATGAGAGGTAGACCCAGGCCTAGCCCCATGGGCTGCTCACTGCAAGATGGGCTGAGCATTGGAACCCCACCTGTGTCTCCTCTAAGAGAAACTGACCCATGTGTTACCCTTTATCTCACACTGAAGACCAAGAAGCCAGTGTGAAGCAGCCTGTATGTTGTCATCCTCTCTGAGTTATACTGTATTGCCATGCAAGGGTGCAGTAAATAAATGAAACTGGCCACAAGTGCTTTAGTCTGACCCCTAAAAAGTAGCAGAACTGCAGATACACTCTGCTCAGCACACTGCTCAGCTATAGACTTCTCAGAACATACACTGGTTGTCCCAACATAAGTGTGTCTCCGATCCCACCCTGCTGGCTTCTCCCTGCCAGGGTCCAGCAGGCCTGGCAGCTCTGGATCTCCCAGAATACAATCTTCCAGGCTACCTGCATTTCTAGCTGCCTGGTCTCAGTTTGTACAACTGAACATCTGAGATAATTTTCATCTTCATTTCAGGTTATCCCTCATTTTGTACAGGATCATAGCTTGGCTTGGGTCCCAAGGCCAAAAGCAGAGCCCAGGCCAGAAGCTAGATTTCCTGGTTTTGTACCAGTCCTACACCCTTCCCATGGAATTGCCTGACACTAGTGAATGGCTATCATCCCCTGCTGTATAGAAGGTTTTCCCTGGCATTTTTCCAAGCAGAAGGCAAAATATTCCAATAAGGTTTTGGAATATATCATACTAGGAACCCACTACAAAATAGCATTAACCTTCTGAGGTTGGATGATTAATAACTACAAGACTGCAAGGACCATATAATTTTCAGTGTTAAAAATGCAAGCAAGGGGCTGGAGAGATGGCTCATCAATTAAAAGCACTGGCTGGTCTTACAGAGGACCTGAGTTCAGTTCCCAGCACCCACATGGCAGCTAACAATCATCTGCAACCAGTTGCAGGGGATCCAATGCCCTTTTTGGCCTCCACAGGCATTGTATGCACATGGCGCACTTATATGCATGTAGGCAAAAACACTTGTACACAGGAAAAAACAAAAACAAAAAAAGAGCAAGGGGCTGGAGAGATGGCTCAGTGGTTAAGAGCACTGACTACTCTTACAGATAACCAGGGTTCGATTCCCAGTACCCACATAGCAGCTACAAACCATCCTTAACTCCAGTTCCAGGGGAATCTGAAGCCTTCTTTTGACCTCCGCAACATTGCACAACATGGGTGCACTGAATTAAAAAAATAAAAGGCCGGGCATGGTGGTGCACGCCTGTAGTCCCAGCACTTGGGAGGCAGAGACAGGCAGATCTCTAAGTTCAAGGCCAGCCTGGTCTACATAGTGAGTCCCACGGGCATGGTGGCACATGCCTTTAATCCCAGCACTCGGGAGGCAGAGGCTGGCGGATCTCTGTGAGTTCAAGGCCAGCTGGTCTCCATAGTGAATCCAGGACAGCTGCAGCTACAGGAAGACCCTGTCTCAAAAAGACAAAAACAAAACAAAACAAAACAAAAAAACCAACAAGGGGCCAGGGACATGGCTCAGTGGGTAAAATACTTGCCAAAACAACGTGAGGACGTGGATTCAGATCTCTAGCACCCACATAAAAGCCAGGTGGGCATGGCAGCCTGCCTGTAACCCTAGCTGGAAAGCTGTAAAAATAGGGATTCCCCAGAGCAACTGGCTAGCTAGACTATCCAAATCAGTAAGCTCTGGGTTCAAATGAGAGCTCTTGCCTCAATATATTAAGATAGAAGCAATTGAGAAAGACACTTCACATCAACTTCCACGCATGTATACATACGCATGTATGCATACCCACACCTACATGGGTGTCTACACAAATGTGAACACACACACAATACATACATACAGAAAAAAAAAATGCAAACAAAAGCTAGGCATAGTAGCTCATGCCTGCAACCCCAGCACTAAGGAGGCAGAAGCAGAAGAACCATTCTAGGTTCTAGGCCAGCCTAGTCTACATAGTTTCAGACCTGTCAGGGTTACATAGTGACCTGTCCCAAAAACCATCAAAATAAAATTAAAATGCAAAAAGCCAGTATGGTGGCATACACCTAATCCCAGGACTTGTAAGGTAGAGGCAGGAGGATCAGGAATTCAAGGTAAGACTCAGATACATAGGAAGTTTGAGGCCAATCTTGAGTATATAAGCCTATCTTAACACAAAATACAAAAAAAAAAAAAAAAAAACACCAAAAAAAACAGGCCTGAAGATGTAGCTTGGTTAGTACGGTGCCTGCCTACCATGAGTTCAATCCCTAGCACCACATAAATGGAGTGGTGGCAAACACATGTAATTCCAGCACTCGGGAGATAGATGTAGGAGGATCAAGAGTTCAAGTTAAGCCATATAGATAAAGAGATAGATAGACAGAGCTCAAGACCAGCCAGAGCTACGTGGAACCTTTCTCTCAAAAAAGAAACAAAATAAAAAACCCCAAACCAACAATAGCAACAAAATTAGTTTTCCTGCCTCCCAAATCAAACTTGTGTGTAGACAACAACTACTCCTTGGTTCCTCTGCCAGCCAACAGAAACATTAGGATGTGAACACTCAGCTGATCTGGGGGCATGAGGCAGTTTCAATGAGAATATTTCCCATAGGCTCCAAGTATTTGGACATTTTGTCCCCAATTGGTAGTGCTGTTTTGGGAGGTCTTAGAAGGTGTGGTCATGCTGGAAGAAAAGTTCACTAGGGGCGGGCTTAGAGAGTTCTTAAGCCTTGCCAGATCTCCAGTCACTTTCTGCTTCCTGTGCCTGCTTGAAGATGTAAGAGTTTAGTTTCTGCTCCTTCTCCAGCTACCTGTCTCCATGCCTCCCCACCATGATGGACTCTAGTCCCTTTGGAACCATAAGCTAAATAAACTCTTCCTTTGTAAGGTGGAAGGTGTTTCTATCATAACAACAGAAAAGTAACTATGACAGGGCACAAATATTCTCTCAATATTATGCTCTGCAGGACATATGAGGCCCAAACACCTTTATCTGCCCATAAGCCTCCAAATGTACAGGAGACTAAAGGCCCTAGCCCTAGTCACACAGACCTGGCTATAAACCTCAGCTGGAACAGTCTCCAGAAGTACAACTTAGCACCCAAGTTTATTATATAAAATGTGGAGAAGCAAAATTCCCAACTAATCAGGCTGTTGAAAAGAGGAGGTGAAGGATGAGAAAGATGCTAAGCTATTTTAAATTACCCTTCATGTGCATGTATGTATGTATGCATGCATGATAGCGAGGATGGAACCCAAGGCCATGTGGGTATATACTAGGCTAGTGTTCTACCACTGAGCCACACCCCTAACCTCAACAATATTTATACTTTTACTGTTTCAGAATTCTGGTTTCTATAGTGACTGAATCAGGGTCCTGTGCAGAACCTCACCTGGTACTCCTCCTCCAGGCGTGACAGCAGCACAGCCTGCTCCACGGTCAGGTGCAGGTCAATCAGGCCCAAGGTCAGCACCATGGACTTGAGCTGGGCTACTACAAACTCGATCCCTGTGGGGACACAAGCCAAGTCAGTACCTATAGCCCATAACTGTGAGTGTCTGCACCCCACCCCCACCACACACACACAGAGAAGTAGGAGGTGAGAACCAACCCAGGACCCACCTGGGATTTGGCACACTCTTTTGTGAGAGTGTGTGATTGGTTTACAGATGAGTCTATGGATCCAAGCCAATGAGACATGAAATTGAGACTCCTGCTGGAGGGTGGAACCCTGGAGTACCAAGTAAAAGGACTCAGCATCAAAGCCACCCAGCCTCCATGCCCAGAGCACTCAGCAGGGATGTGCCAACATGCACCCCACCCTCTAGGCCCACAGAAGCCCAGTAGGTACCTTGTAGGGCCCACATGTTGTAAGAGGCCAGATGGCTGGTGAACACCTCCCGAGTCTGGGCAGGGATGCTGGGTCCCATTATGCTGGTGGAGGAGCCGATCTCCACCCCATATCTAAAAGGAAAAGGAATCACATGTCCTTGGCACACTGTCTCCCAACTGCAGCCCAGCATTGACTGGAAACAAAAACCCTAGATATGGCATGTGTCCAAGGGGCTAATCTTGGGAACTTTGGGAGGGAATACCACTGTGCTTTATAACCTCCTATCCTAATTTTCTAACTCCTGAAAGCAAATCTAGAGTAGCAAGAAACTGCCCTGAATGAGGGAGTTGAGTCCTTTGAACAGGGGCTCAGTTATGTACAGCTGCCTGAAATGTAGTCATTTGGTGGACTCTTCATTAAAAGTATGGATAACCTGCTTTTCAAATACTTTTTAAAAATATCTTCACATTTGAGGCCATAAAATATTTCTCTTAAATATTTTTTCCTTAATATAATGTTTAGATAGGACATATATCAATACTTTTCTTTTTTTGATCTTTTTATATCATGAACATGGGATTTGATCTGTGACCTCTGGGACACACAAGCTGGCTTCAGGAAAAGATCCATGTTCAAGAATAATCACAACTAGGAGTGTGGAATGTAGCTCGGTGGCAGAGCAAGCAAAAGGCCCCAGGTTCCACTGCACACTATACACATATATTTAGAAAATAATCCTGGGGCTGGAGAGATGGTTCAGCAGTTAAGAGCTCTGATGTTCTTCTAGAGGACCCAGATTCAGTTCCCAGCACCCACATGGCAGCTAACAACTGTAACTCTAGTTCTAGGGGATCTGACGCCCTCTTTTGGCTTCTGCTGGCATTGCACAATATAGGTGCCCTTACATACATGAAGATGAAACACTCATATGCATAAAATAAAAATTTTTTTAAATCATATCATATAAAACAGGAACTACATTAGTAATCAGATCAAACCATTGTCATTTCTTTAACTATACCCCTTTTTTCTAATGCTTTGAAAATATCTTCTAAAATTTTGAATAGTATACATTAAATGTAGAAAGTAAGTTGTTTTTTTGTTTTGTTTTAATTGCTAAGGATGGGATGGGATATTTCAAATACTACAAAACTCAATGTTTTGTGCTATGGCAAAGACCTCCAGGCACCTAAAGTAATGTTATCATTCATTAGATTGCAAAATGTTGCTATGTCTTCATGTTTTTCAGAAGTATGAGAGTCATTAACTTTTTCTATAGAGCATGGACCGTCTTCTCCTTTGAAATTCCAGGATGGCAGGGCATAGAGACACATGCCCAAAATCTCAGAACTCAGGACATAGAGGCAGGAAGATCAGCAGCACAAGGCTACATAGTGAGTTTGAGGCCAGCCTGAACTATCTCAAAGAACCAAAACAAACAAACAAGCAAATGAAAAAAAAAAAAAAAAACACCAGGATGGCTGGGCCATTGTGAACACTCAGGAAATGTGTAGCAAATGAATGGAATATATTGATGGGCATAGTTTCTGTGAAAAATGTTATACCAGAAAAAAATCCTATAGGCATTACAAATACTGCTGACAAGGTAGTGCTGTGGAAGACAGGCCTTCCACATTTCATTTGGAATGAAATGAAATGGAATAAATTTTGCCAGCACATCAGTATCTATTCAATTTGTACTCATAAGAATCTTCCTGTTAAGAAAAGCTATTGAACATCACCAAGTCCTAGAAGCCACACACACACACAGAGGTATTGCTCACAATTTTGCAGGAAGCTATCCTGACTCATATTTGTGCACATATGTACCTTAAACACTGCTTATGATTTTTAATTAGCAGTTCAATAATGATGGAAAGTATTCTTTTCAAAATTTGGTTCTCACCTCTGCTGTATAGGATACTAAGCACTTTTTTACATATAGCCACTGGCTCACTCTTCCTATCACCCTGCCAGGCAGGAAGAACTAGCCCATTTCCAGTCAAAGAAACTGAAGCTCAAGAGATCAACTCACTGGCCCAAAGTCATGTAGCTCCAACCACCAATGCTACTCTGACACACTGGGACCAGGAGCCTGGAGCCTCTGTTGCTCCTTGAAGTTCAGGGGGATGGCCAAAATGAATTGCAACATTTTCCAAGGTAACCCTACCCACAAACATCTGAGGGAATCTGAAACTCACGAGGGTTCTGAACTCAGAGCCAGCTAGCTGAAGACTTTGGGTGTGCTGTATGATCCTCACCCTAGCATCCCATCCAACACTGGGCCCACTGTGGGGCTGCACATCTTACCTTTCCTCAGCCCATTCTATGATTGGATCCCACTCGTTCTTCTGAAGTTCCACTAATGTCTCTGGCTCTTCCACCCTGTAGCTAATTCATTGTAAAAATCACCTTCATTAATAAAAAAGTACAATTCCTTCATTCGGTGACAGAAAAGGAAAACACAAAGGGCAAGAGCAAAAAACTTCCCACCACCAACCCAGTGTCCTAAGTCTCATTCCCTAAAACAGTGATTTTTTTAAATGTGGTCTTGGGGCCAAGCAGCATCAGCTCTCCCCTCACCTGGAAGCTTACTACCAGGGCACCTTCTCAGGCAAGTCCTACCCTAATGACAAGCAGAACCTTTGAAGTAGGGCCTGGCCATCAGTTTCTACAAGCCCTCCAGGGGATTCTGATGTAAGCTTGAGTGGCAGTCCACTGTCCTAAATACTGCCCGCTCCCAATACTTGACAGGTCCAAACTTGGAGCCATGTTAGTGTTACTCAAAGGCAGATCCATACCCACAGGACCCAAGTGCTATGCTAGAAGCTCAGTGATAGCTCTATACCAAGACCCCCTGCTTCTGGTCACAGCTGCCACTTCAGGAGCCCGGGCGGCCACCTATTGGAGTGGATCATTGAGCTGAAGAAACACCATAGAGCCAGGCAATACCACTCATTTTGATAGACACAGAAAGGTCAGTTGATGGGAGCTGAACTGCAAAGCCAGTCTCATGTAAGCAGAGGGGCAGGTTGCTGGGAGCAGAGTGGGAGGCCTTTCTTCCCATCTACCCTGGACTTGCATGGAGGAGACAGGAGGAACTTTATCCCTGGGGTTCCCTTTGCCTTCGCTTGTTGTTGGGACCCTCCAGTTTAAGAAGCCTCTTTGCCCAAGGTAGGCTGAATGAACTCTGTTCCCTGCAGGCAACTGCTCCCTAGTACAGAGAAGACTTTCCCACTCTAAGCTCTAAGTGAGCCTGGGGGCCACCCCCTTCCAGAGCACCTATACCATTATCCTGGATCATCCCTGGTGTTCTGGTTTGAATGAGAATGTCTCACATAGGCTCCAACTATTTGAACACTATGTCTCTAGTTGGTGGCACTGTTTTGGGAGGTTTACTGGAGGAAGGGACACTGGGGACTTTGAGAGTTCTTATCCCTGTTCCATTTCCAGTTTCTCTCTCTCTGCTTCCTGTGCCTATCTGAAGATTTAAGCACTTGGCTTTCAGCTCTGGCTGCTTCTGCCATCATGCCTCCCTGCCATGATGAACTCTTATCCCTCTGGAACCATAAGCCAAATAAAACTCTTCCTTCTATAAGCTGCATTGGTCATGGTGTTTTATCACAGCAACAGAAAGTGACTAATAGATCTGGGATGACTCAGGACCACTGAGCACTGGGCCAACAGACCCATTACTGCTCAACTACTCAGTTGTTTCTTCCAATGTTCCCGCAATATTATTTCCCAACAAGCAAAGGATATAGATACAAGAAGAGAATTCAGAACTGGAAGAGGGTAGCCCCTGACTACTGCCATCTATATGACAGGGGTGCCAACATGTAAACATGCTGAGGGCCAAAAGTCAGGTCCAGACATCCTGCTAGGGGTTGACCTACAAGTCCTATGGTTCTGTAGCCTATGAGAATGACATACATTTCCATGGCAGCTCAGTTCAGCCCAGCTTAAGGAGTGCCCTGTACTTTGGCAGCCTGAAGTCCTCCTCTTAAGATAATGACAAAGGCCTTGGCTCTTCCTCCACGGATACACTTTGCACAAATGAGGCAAAATAACCTAAGAGGCCTAAGAGCTCCTCCACCCAAAAGGACTGTTCCTCTAAATACCACTTGCCAGATGGTGTCGGTGTCTAGAAACTTCACAACTGCCCGGATCAGCTGATCCTTGTTTCGCTGGGTTGGGTTGTCCAAGGATGTGTTGCACAATGTGGTCTGAATGAAAAGGCAGAACATGCCCTGTCACCACCTGCGGGGCTCAGGCATGTGAACACTGCAGATAACACACAGTCGCAGGGTAAGAAGCAGTCAGCACGCCATTAGAGCTAGCTGCCAGAATTACAGCCACAGCAGCAGCACATCTGCAGAATTCGTCTGAGAGCCAGACTCCACACTCAAGCTCTAGAAGTACTCAAGGGATTCATAGGACTCTCAAAGTGACCCTGGATTAGTGAACTTCCTCAAGGTTTCAAGGTCTTTATTTATTTTTATGTTCATCAATACCAGATTGATTTAATCTGTACAATACTTTTGAGCAGGTTCCACGATTCTACTCACTTCAGAGATGTGGAAACTGAGGCCCAGAGCAGTAAAATACATATTCAAACACTGTAAATGAAGTACAGAATTCAAATCTGACCAAGAAGCTTTACCAGCTGGTTCCCTTGACAGCCCAGAAAGTAAGGCAGTAAATCAAACTGGGATCAAGACAGTCTCCTAGAGTTGCCGTTAATAACAGGTTTCCAAGACTACTCTAGGCCCTAGTTTGTGGCCCTAATCAACCCAATTACATTAGATAGCCAAGAAGCAGACCATGCCCTTAAGGAGGGCCATCTGGGTCTGTATGTCAAAGCTGAGTGCAGCAGGGACCAGCATGAGAACAACTGAACCTAGAACTGATTGATGCCTATCCTGTGCCAGGACGAGGGATCCATACACTGTATTATCTGTTCCCAACCACAGCTCCATAAGGTGGGTAGTACAGGTGAGGAGCATGGGGCTGAGAAAGGGTAGCCACTTGTATAATAACACAGTACAGAGGCTGTACCCCAAGAGTCTCAGTAGCACCTGTGTGTGTATGGGGGAGCTGGCTCTATGGAGCATCTTCCTTGCCTCACCCATTTGGCTCCTTGATTCTCACACTCAACCAGTCTTTACTGAGCACCACCTTTGCTTCCTGATGAAGCTATTGAGTAACAAAGACATGGCCACTGCCCTTCTGTCATTCACCATGCTAGGAAAGACAGAGATAATAAATGGTCTGCAAATATAAAGCAGACCATTAAGTGCTGATGAAATAAATGACCAGCTACTATAATAATAAAAAAAAAAAAAAAGATAGGGGCTGTGGCTCAGTCAGAGTACTTGCCTAGCATGCACAAAGCCCTGGGTGCAATCCCCAGTACTATATAAACTGGGCATGGTGGCACATGCTTATTATCTCGGCACTCAGAAGGTAAAGGCAGGAAGATCAGAAGTTCAGGGTCATTTGCACTACATATCAGGTTTGAAGCCTGCTTGGGATACATGAGACTCTCTCAAAAAAGACTGGAAGAGGGGGCAGGGGAGATGGCTCAGCAGTTAAGAACACTGATTGTTCTTGCAGAAGACCTGGGTTCGAATCCCAGCACCCACATGGCAGCCAACAACTGTCTAACTCTAATCCCAGGGGATCCGACAGCCTCTTCTGTCCTCCGCGGGCATTGCATGACACAGGTGCACTTACCTACATGCATACACATAAAATAAAAATAATAAAATTAAAAAAAAAAAAAGTCTGGAAGGTCATCAAAGGTAGCAGTCATCAAAGGTGACTTCTTTCCTGAGACCAGAGGCAAAACCAATCACTCAGCACAGTGTTCCAACCAGAGGGCCAGGTCAGGCAGGGAAAGAGTTTCGCCTCTTCAATGACAGAGGTGGTGAATGTGGCCACAGCCAGGCAGCCAGGAGCCGACCCCAAGGCCTCATCACAATATGGGAAGGAATCTGATTTCCTTTTTTTTTGGTTGTGAGCCTGAGGCTTTAGCAGCTGTACCAGCTCTCCAGCCCTAATTTCCTTTTTTTTTTTTTTTTTTTTAAAAAAAAAAAGACAGGGTCTCACTATGTAGCCCTGGCTGATCTGCTTGGCTCTGCCTCCCAAATGCTGGAATTGAAGGCATGTGTCATCATACCTGACAGAAATCTAAATTTTTGCCAATCAACCCAGGAAGCCCTGGGGAGCATCAGGGTAGAGGCATGGTATGTCTATTTGTTACCAGGTGCATGGTGTAGAACTTGATGGTATCCTGCTGAGAGTCCCATTCGGTGGCCACTGCAATGGCCAGAGCCTCACTGGGAACAGTAAAAAGCTTGGCTTGTGGAGTTTTCAGCTTCCTGTGGTCCAGGTTTATCTCAAAGCCACCTTGAAAGAGCATATGAAAAATTCTCAGGGACTATGAAGTGGGGTCACTTGAATTTGTGCACACAAAGACATCTGACAAAAGTGTCAAGGATAATCCCACCACTAAACCTGCTAGAGATGAAAAACGTGTCCAACCATTCACAAAAAAGAGGCCATCAAAATTTCAGACACTCACCTTCACCCTGTGAGATGCTGACATTCTGATAAAACCTCTTCCTTTCTGTAAGACAGATTTTCAGAGAGGCAGTTTAAAATAGTGTGGAAGGGGCTCAGGAGGCAAGATCAACTTGCATCATTATTGTTAATGCTCACTGATTGGCTTGATTTTCATTATCATTCAAGGTCTACCCTAGTTTGCAGTATAATCAGCGGCTTTTGATTAAAGCTGAAAAGGGGAACATCTACTCTCAGGGACAAGGGAGGAACAAAACAACAGGGTCATGCTATTTACCAGTCCCCAAGCTTGAGGACAACTCTAATCAGGAGCTATAGACTATGACCTGAGAATTTCTGGCACCCACTTTAATATCCACGTATGCCCCCTCTTATACTGTCCCCAGACCAACACAATGTGAATCTAAATTTGGTGTGTGAATAGGGTAAAGCCAAATATTCCTTTCAGGCAAGACTTGATGCTTCTGACGAAGGAAACCGAGTGTGTGTGTGTGTGTGTGTGTGTGTGTGTGTGTGTGTGTGTGTTGCACAGGCAGAAAATAAAGCTCCTGGGAGCATTTTCCATCCTCTCTCTAATTAGTTAGCCTAATTAACCAGCTTACTAGTGTATTCAACAAGAGCTCCAAACACTTCCTTCAAGATGAGGGAAAAATATGTGGTACATGTTTTCTTTCTTTTTTTTTTTTTGTCTTTTTGAGATAGGGTCTCCCTGTAGCCCCAGCTGTCCTGGAACTCACTATGTAGACCAGGCTGGCCTTGAACTCACAGAGATCCGCCTGCCTCTGCCTCTGCCTCCTTAGTGCTGGGATTAAAGGCGTGTGCCACTGGCTGTACATGTTTTCTTTAGACTATGAAAATTGAGAAGTTGATGTGCATGTAAGGCAGAGGAAAGGTAATGGAGAGAGGGCATCTGGTTTTACTAAAAACATTTTTGTTTTCTATGTATCAGTTATTTGCATAAATCTCTTTTTTGTTATTCTTTTTTAAAATATTTTATTTTTGATTTTTATTTTATGTGTATGAGTATATTGCCTGCATGTAGGTAAGTGCACCTGTGTCCTACAATGCCCGCGGAGGACAGAAGAGTCTGTCAGATCCCCTGGAACTGGAGTTATGGACAGTTGTTAGCTGCCATGTGGGTGCTGGGATTTGAACCTCAGTCTTCTGCAAGAACAGTCAGTGTTCTTAACCGCTGAGCCATCTCTCCAGCCCCGTTATTAATTCTTAAAGACAGAGGATCCCAAATCACATTTCTATGGGTACAATTAGGAAAGTAAAGCCCAAATTGTTTTCCCATGAAACTTCTGCATGTCATCCATGGGCCATACACTGTTCTGGTACTTAGGATACGGTAGTGAAAAAGACAGATAAAAGTCCTTGTCTTCGTGGACTTTAAACATTTTTTTAGGGCTAGGTGCATGCCTTTAATCCCAGCATTTGGGAGGTAGAGCCAAGTGGGTCAGCCTGCTCTACATAGTGAGTTCCAGGGGCTACAGAGAGACTCTGTCTCAAAAAAAAACATTTTTTTTTTAGTGATTGGATCTTCTATTTAAATGCAATAAACCACACACAAAAAAAAGCATGAAATTAGGAGGGGGACTTGTTGGGAAGACAGGCATAGCAGGAGGGGGAGGCAAGTAAGGGAGGACAGTGGAGGGGATATGATCAAAGTATATTATAAAAATAGAATAAATGCCAGGCATAGTGGCACACGCCTGTAGTCCCAGCACTCGGGAGGCAGAGGCAGGTGGATCTCTGTGAGTTCAAGGCCAACCTGGTCTACAGAGTGAGTTCCAGGACAGCTGGGGCTACAGCTATCTCAAAAAGACCAAAAAAAAAAAAAAGTATTCTATTTTTATTCTACAGGTGTGCGCCACCGTGCCCGGCCTTGAATAAATACTTTTAAAAATTATCAGGGTGGGAGGCCGGGCATGGTGGTATACACTTTTAGTCCCAGCACTTGGGAGGCAAAGGCAGAAGGATCTCTGTGAGTTCCAGGCCAGCCTGGTCTACATAGTGAGTTCCAGGCCAGCTGGGGCTGCAGGGAGAGCCTAACTCAAAAAGACCAAAAAAAAAGTAGGGTAGGCAGGGTGGTACACAACTAGTCCCAGCACTCAGGAAGCAGAGGCAGGTAGATCTCTGTGAGTTAGCAGTCAGCCCAGTCTACACAGTGAGCTCCAGGGCTACATAGTGAGAACTTGTCTCAGAAAAAAACAAATAAAATCAGATCTGGCGATTGAGATGAGATGGCACAATTTGCCACATCATGTAAAACCATTATACAAATTCTGTCACATATTTTACACCAAAATAGGGAGATTCTGCTACTACAAAGTTTTTAAATTTCCCTACCTTACCTTCCACCCTGGTGGGTGCTCATAGGCCCCCATTCCCATCCCTGTGAGGCTGGAGGTTCTACATTATACCATCAGGCTTTCTGGTGCTTAGGTTGGGCAGCATGTGCAAAAGTCTGGCCAGGCAAGAGCCAGGCAGAGCCTGAGCCCTCTAACTCAACACTTAGAAAGGGTCTTCCGGTTTGAGCCAGAAGTGCCAGCAGAGGGTCTGGTACACCAGTGAACATACTGCTTGATACAGGCCTGGAAAATGGGCTAAAGAGATGGAGCAGAGAAGGGACTCAAGCAGAAAACTGACAGTGCAGTGCTACATACCCCAAAGCTTCAGGGATGGCTGGGTTTCCTATAACATGTCCCCTGATACCTGGCTTTGTTAGCAGGCCCATCTCCATATCTAAATAAGAATTAGAAAAGTCTGGCTAGAGAGGCCATCAAATCAAAATTACTCAAAATGGGAGAAAGGTACTCAGAAAACAGGACAACAGAAGGACAAAGGGAACCCAGAAGACAGTGGCCTCATATTCAAAACTGGGCATGTGTAACAGGGTTTTAAGCAGGGCTCTTCTCAAGGAAGTCCAGACACACACGGGCAAATGTCAGGTTTCCTACTTGAGGGAACACTGCTCACATTCAAGATACAGACTAATCTTAGGGATGAGATGTGCCTTAGAGGTACTTCTTGTCTAGTGGGAGTCAGATACTAAACCTAGCAAATGACCACATGACTTCAGTGGGCCAATGGGAACCCAAGACTGAAGAATCCTGATCTTATCCTGGGCTGCAAAAACTTCCGAGCAGTTGGAGCTCATCTGTGAGCCACAGAAGCAAGAGTCTCTAAATCTCACTTATTGATCTGTTTGGGAAGAGGAAAGAAGTAATTTTCAGTATTAGAAATGGCCTACATGAAGGTCCAGGCTGCAGGGAACTCTTTTGGGGAACTAGAAAGACGGCAGAAGGAAAGATTGACACTGTCCAGCACAGGATGGCTAGAGATGCCCAGAGAGGACAATGGGGGATACATGGGTCATAATAAGGACAACAGTTAAACAAGAATGTCATCTGGACAATCCACTGAATGGGATCCATGAGCCCTAACAATGTCAAAAAGATATCAGGTCACGTATGACAGATCACGAAGCCAGGCATGCTAGCACATGCCTGTAATCCTAGCACTTGGAAAGTGGAGCAAAGAGGAATCAAGGAGTTCAAGATCTCTATCAGCTAAATAGTGAGTTCAAGGCCAGCCTGGGATATATGAGACTCTGTCTCAAACAAAGAAAAAGACAAATCATGAGGACCCTGGCAACCTGTGAAGTGCCCTTATTCTTAACAAATAACAGTGTTTTCCAACATTGACAGCAATACCATCTTTAAAGCCAAAAGAAACAGCAATGCTCTGTAGGCTCCTGCAGAACTGGGAACTATTTTGAATATGTATCACTCATTTACAGAATATCTGGGACAAAACATACAGTGCTTTTTCCGAGTTTTGGGGACCATGCATGTGCATGTGAAAAAAGTGTTGACTTTACAGAGCTGGCCAAATCAAGCATGGTGGCACAAACTTGTAATCTCAGCACTTGGGAGGCAGAGGCAGGAGGACTGCTGTGAGTTCAAGGCCAGCCTTGGCTACATAGCAAGTTCCAAGCCTACCAGAACTATATAGTGAGACCTTGGCTCAGTAGGTAAAGTGACTGTGGAGCAAGCATGAGGACCTGAGCTTAGATTCCCAAGACCTACATAAAAAGCCAGGCATGGTGGCATATGTCTATAATTCCAGCACACTAAGTGAAGCCCTAGAATTCACTGATCAGTTTAGTCTAATTGGTGCGCTTCAGGTTCAGAGACTCTGTCTCAAAAAATAAGGTTGAAATCAGTCAAGGAAGACACCTGACATTGAGTTCTGGTCCACACACACACACACACACACACACACACACACACACCCAAGGTTGGTAAAGTACTTGCTGCACAAGCATGAAGACCTGAGTTCGATTTTCCAGCACCCATGTAAAAAGCTGGAGAACAGTGATGGGTACTTGTAACCCCAGAGCTGGAGAAGTGGAGACAAGAGGATTTCTATAGTTTACTGGCCATCTAGCCTAGCCTACTCAGCAACCCTGTCTCAAAAACAAGGAAGGAACCAGCAAGATGGCTCTGAAGGTAAAAGTGTTTGTTGGGAAAACCTGACAACCTGAGTTCAATCTCCAGAACCCACATAAAAGCGGAAGGAAAAAAAAACGGACTCCACAAAGATGTCTTTGATCTTCACATGTGAGCCATGAAATGTACCCACACATGCATACACACACTCAAAAACCAAAGAACCAGTCATAAGAAAATGAGAAAAATAGAGAACAATTTTTTAAAACTGCTAAAAGGGGCTAGAGAGATAGCTCAGCAGTTAAGAGCACTGGCTGCTTGTGCAGAAGACCCATGTTTGGTTCTTAGTACCCACAAGGCAGTCCACAATTGTCCATAACTCTAGTTCCAGGGGATCCAACACCCTTTTCTGCCTTCCACAGGCATTGTATACGTGTGGTGCACTTACATACAGGCAGGCAAAACACTCATATACATAAAATCAATCAAAAAAAATTTTTTAACTGATCAAGGGAAGAGTACTGAAATGAGAAATTAATGTCCTTTGTGTCTTGTTTTCCTGTGAAGTTGTTTAAATCCATAAAAAGAAGCAAGCAGTTTCCAGTGTCACTTCCCCTAAATTGTTTTGTTCCAGTCTTTATGGACTGGTGTGTGGTTTATCTCAGTCACAATTTAGGAGTTGGCCTTGTTTTGAGAAAGACTCAAAGATGGTGGGCTTGGTGGCATACACCTTTGATCCCAGCACTAGGGAGGCAGAGGCAGGTGGATCTAGTGGCCACCCTGGTCTGCATAAGGAGTCCAGGCCAGCTGGGGCTATAGGGAGACCCTATCACAAAACAAAACACAAACCAAACCAACCACACTCCACCCCACCCCACCCCACACAACACAACAAACAAAACAAAACATACACACACAAAAACCCCACAGGAACTACAACTCCCACAAAGCACCAAAAAGTGTTAGTCCAGGCCATCTCAACATCTTTATCTTTTAAAACAGTGCCATCTGGTGGGCCTTGAACCCAAGCTAAATTTGAAATGTGTAACCCTCTATCTATACTCCTGGGGCAGCTCCAACCAATGGTTTACAGGTATCAAATTTGTACAAACATACAAAGAAAACTTTCAACTCAGTAATAAAAATACAAAAAAAAAACCAATAAAAAAATGACCAAAGGAAGTTGGGATGGTGCAATACCTGCAATCTTAGCACTTGGGAAGTAAAAGCAGGATGATCAAGAGTTCAAGACCATCCTTGACTACAAATGCAAGACCAGACTAGGCTACAGGAGACTCTGTTTCAAGAAACCATAAATAAATAATGCCAAAAGATCTGAGTAGATATTTCTTCAAAGAATATATACAAATGTGTAATAAGCACATGCAGATATGCTTCACATTACTTATTTTCAGGAAAATGCAAGTCAAAAACATAACAAAAGCCAGGAATGGTTGTGTATACTATAATGTCAGCACTCTGGAGGCTGAGGCATAGTGATCTCAAGACCAGCCTAGGCTACATGTCTATTTCAAGGCCACCCTAGACTACACAATGAAACTCTGTTCCAAAAATAATCATCATAAAATAACAAAAAAACTGGCAATGAGATATACCACATCACATGAAATGAAAAAGACAGGTAAACAAGTGTTGGTGAGTATGAAAAGAAACAAGAATCATTATACACTACTACTAGAAGTGTAAAACAATGCAGCCACCTTAGAAAACAATCTGGCTGATCCTCAAAAAGTTAGTTTCCACTTAAGCCAGAAATTTTGCTGGAGATGTATCCATGAGAAAAGCAAAGCAAAAGCCCCCACAAAAACTTGTGCATAAATGTCTAGATTCATAATGACCGAAGAGCAGAAACAACTCACAGGTTCATAAATGGACAGGTAAAATGCTAGTCAGCAAATGAGGGCATGGTGGTGCACACCTTTAATCCCAGCGCTTGGGAGGCAGAGGCAGAGGCAGGTGGATCTTTATGAGTTCAAGGCCAACCTGGTCTACATAGTAAGTTCCAGGACAGCTGGGGCTACAAGGAGACGCTGTCTCAAAAAAAATAAAAATGGAATATGGATATATGACACAACATAGACAAACCTGAAAAACTTTGCGCAAAGTGAAAAAGACTAGGCCCCAAAACAAAACAAAACAAATAAATGGAGTGGGGCAGGGCTGGAGAGATGGCTCAGTGGCTAAAAGCACTCACTCACTGGTTGCTCTTCCAGCACCCACATGGTGACTCACAACTGTCCATAACCCCAATTCAATTCCTGAAACTTACATAATAGGAGATAACCCACTCCCAAAAGTTGTCCTCTGACCTCCACATGTGTACCACACAAGCCCACATACATACATACACAATAAATAAAATGTAAAATTATGGAATTTACAGTCAAAAGAATCCTTATTGGCAATCTCATGCTTCAAATCCTTGAAGAAGGCAAACTCATACAGGCCCAAGCTTACAGTACCTCAGAAATTCATTCAGTACCAGACCACAGATTTGTACTTGTGTCACAGTGCCAAAGTACCTATGGAATTCTGTTTCCTAAAGTGGGCAGTGTTGTAGCAGGGTCTCTCACACCTTGCTGTCACCTCTGGACATGTTGTAGATACCCAACACTCTTCTCCAACAAACTGTCACTCACTTTGACTCAAGAATCTAAACATTCTTAAGATGGGGTGTACTTCTTTGTGTTCTCACAGCTCCTCTCCATTTTTCCATATCAGAATAAATTATAAAACTATTGATTAGTAAGGATAATGTAACCTGCATTTGACAATGAACAGCATTCAGGTGGGACATCTATCTTAAAGACCACTGTGCCTCCTGCCCCTAGCACAAAGCAACTAACTGAATGAAAGCCTGTCACTACTTTTTATTGGCTGAAGTAAATCTCAGTCTCTAAATTCTCTCTCCAGCAGCAATGAAAGAAAGAGCCATCACTGTCTTGTGGGTTTCATTGTAGTCCTTAGTGGGTGAAGGAAGCATGACAGCAATTCCCACTTAGAAGGCTCCAGAGAACACAGGGATTGTGATACAACACTAGGACAGGGAAAGTGTGTGGGGTGGAAGGCTGGCTGCCTGCCTGCCTGCTCTGTGCCAGGTCCTGTGCTGGGTCCCTTCGCCCTCCAAAAACCTCAACCAATCTGCTCTGTGACCTTGGAAGTCCTGATTCAGAGGCGAGATTTTCCTTGAAAATAATGAAGACACCTGCTTCTCTTTTAAAGGTGAAAACTTTGAAAACCTCAGGGGACAAATGTCAATCACCGTCCCCTGAGCTGGACGCGCTGCGGGGTCCCCTGTATCTTCTCAGCGGTGGTTTGGACGTCACTTACCCATCTGTAACAGAACTCCATTTGCACTGAATATCCTCATGGGCCTGAACCCTGCCTCGGTCACCCCGAACTGCTGGGCAGAAACCCTCAGCCAGTGGAGGTCGATTTGGTTCCAGACCAAAAAGTAACATGTCGGGCCTCACCTGTCGGTGGGCCATAGGCCCGGGCTGGGGGCTGGAAGGCTGGCCACGACCACATTGAGAAGGTGGGGTCAACCGGAGGCCGGTTCAAGAGAAGGCGCCTCTGCGCCCTCAACCGGAGGCAGATCCGCCACATCACGCAGGAGGGCCTGGGTGGGTGTGTGCGTGAAACCGGAGATCAGGAATAGGGCGAAGGAATCCCCAAGCCGCACGGTGCGGCTGTCCGGAAACTTCTCACCACTTGCTCCGAGCCCTCAGTCTCCCCTGGACGCCGCCATGTTCCTCATGACACCTACGCTGCGCCACCGCCGCCGCGCCGCCGCATGCCTCCTGCGCACACCCCTGGTCAATCAACCTCACAAGCGCGCTCGCCCCGCCCCCTCCATGCCTCACCCCCGGAAAGAAAACTACAAATCCCAGAGGGCTGTCAGCGCGCCGCGCCACGTGTTCTCTACACCCGCCAATGGGCGGAAGCGCCGCTCCCCCCCCCCCCCCCCCCAGCGTGTCGGCGCCAATCGGAAGCAGTGTGTGTGTGTGTTTGTGTGTGTGCGTGCGTGTGTGTATGTGCGTGTGTATGTATGTGTGTGTGTGTATGTGTGTGAGTGTGTCTGTGTGCGTGTGTGCGAGGGCAAATGGCGGGTGGGCCCAGCTCAGGGAGGCCTGGCTAGCAGGTCCCGGGGTCCTGGTGGCGACCCGAGCGCTCGGTCCGCCTGCAGCGGGCGGGTGATTCCTCCTCCACCCCCACCCCCACCCCCGGCCCCGGCGCCTGCGCGCCCGGTCCCGCCCTCCCCGCAGCCTCGGCTCCCGCGCGGCGGCGACGGCGGCGGTTCGTTCCCCCTCCCCCCAGCCCTGGCTCCGGGGGACCCTGCGATGCCGGTCCGCACCGAGTGTCCCCCGCGGGCGGGTGCCTCAGCTGCGTCTGCGGCGTCACTCATCCCGCCGCCGCCCATCAACACCCAGCAGCCCGGCGTGGCCACCAGCCTGCTCTACAGCGGCTCCAAGTTCCGCGGCCACCAGAAGAGCAAGGGGAACTCGTACGACGTAGAGGTGGTGCTGCAGGTGAGCGCCGGGCAGCTGGGCACGGCCCGAGGGCCTCCTCGCGGCGCTCACGGGCCGGGCCTGCTCTGGGCTCCTCGAGCCCGCAGCCGCGGACCGGGCCCTCGCTGCCGGGGCCTCCTGCACCCCTGCACCCAGCGCCTCCTACCCGGGACCTGCCCGGCAGATGTCACACTCTCAAACCCCAGCCCCAACCCACCCCCAGACCCAGAGACTGTGGCGGCCGGCCTCCAACAGACTCCGAAGACTGTCCCACACTTTGACCCGCCGGCTTGGGATCCGGAAGCATCCCCTTGACTAGCTGTCCTTTGGCCTGGGTCCGGTCTTCCCAAGTCCTATACTCCCTACACCAGCCAGCCCTCCCACCAGTCCCTGTTGGAACCTGAACTAACTCTCCGTTCGTTTCCCCTAAACTCGGGACCCTCCCGGCGGCGGCCGGTGTCAGATTCTCACTGAATGAAGCCTGCCCCCCGCCCCTTCATCTCAGAGCCAGGGACCTTCCTCCAACGATTTCCTCCTTTGGAGAATTCAATCAGCACCCCGTCTCGGGGCGGAGGTGGGGGGGGGTGGTAGAGGCCACCTCCCTCCATTGGCTGAGACAGCCACAGCAGGCTTTCTCAGTCCTTGGCTCCCTGAAAACCAGACCAGGTACTCACAGCCTGATACCCCCAATTGCACCGCCTAGTGTTAGGACCTTGTCTCCAGTACCATACTCTGCCTCATTCGGTCTGTTTATGGTCCAGATACCCAACTGCTCCCACACCAGGCCTCCTACCTCAGGCTTCTTACCTTAGCTTGCGCTGTAGTTAACTTCCCATCCTTGGCAGTTCCCCTGTCCTCTCCCCAGACAACACCTCACACCTTGATCTGGTTGATTTCTGTTGCTGACTTCAGTGCTGCTGATTTTTACCTGCACAAGCCCAGGGCTTCCAGCTGCTGATGCCCAAGTACTGGGAAACAAAACTCACCCAGTTTTGTTTTGTGTCCACTTACCTTCCCCTATTGACCTGGATACCTGAGTACTGGCTGCCAGCTCCCAGTCCCCGGACAGCTTTGGAATTCTAATTTCATTTGCTCTGTCCTTTCCTTTCCCTAACTTTGTATCTCTCTCTCCCGTGATACTTTTCCCAGCTGAAGGAGACTGGAGGTTCCCTTTAAACTCCATTCTCCACTATATTGTTCTTCCTAGGTGTTAGCCTGACTGAGGACCCATTTTTCCCTTTCTTGTATGCATTTTCCCCTAATGCCACCTCCTAGGCTATTCCCCAAATCCTGCCCCTTGAAAGCCCTTCCAGAGGGTTCAGAGCTATATGCTGCCCCAGGGTTTCTGTGAGAAAGCAGAATGTACAATGTGCCTGCCCTACCACCCTTTGCCCTTCTAGTTTCCTGTCTTGGATTCTTCTGAGAATGTACTTTCCCTCCCCAAAGACAGTGAGGGCGTCTCTTCTAACTTGTAGCACACTCATCAGCCCTTTTCTTACTGTTTTAACGGAGTAAGTTTTCTCTGGTTTTTGATTTTTGATTGGGGAAAACCATTGCCTTGTTAATTGTATATCTGTTTTGTAAAGTTCTATCATGGACTGTGATACTTATTGTTCATCAGAAAGTTCCTATGGCCGAGATATTTCAGTCCTCATAACTGCCTTATCTGGAGATTTTTTTTCCTTAAAATGTAAGAATCTAGTATGAAAGTTAGGCTTCTAAAAAAAAAAATCAGTCATAAAATTCTGGAAATAAGATCCCAGTGTAGATCGTGTTTAGAATGGTCCTTGATCTGTGCCTGATGGTTTCCAGTGTAGTAGGGAACAGCTGGCACGGGTAACTAGGTGTCCAAGGGAAGTCTGCTTTGGTTCCTACAGCACCTGCTCCTTTCTCTCATTAGTGTGGTGTTCCCACTCTTGTCAGGTGCCAGTGTCCTTGAGCCAGTGGAAGTAGTAATTGAGTTGGGGCATGGCTGATAGGGGTCAGGTGGCCCAAGCCCTGGAGTAGGTTGGCTTGTGGTTGGTCATGCCATGGAATGCTGCCCCACATTTGGACTGGTGAGCTGCTTGTTCATCATTATGACCAAGTGGAGGCATGGGAATTTCCCTATCACCCGCTCTTTCAGCTAACACTAGTTTCTTAGGCACAGCCTTTTGAGAAAATATCTGTTGTTCATAATTCAGCTGCTTTCTGCTTGTTTTTCTCATTTAGTTTAGCTGAAAATACTTTTAGGAGGCAGAATAATATGGTGGACACAGGCATGTACTCTGAAGTCAGATCAATGCTAAAAATAAAAAGTACACCTGCTTGTTTTTCTTTTTAAGAACTTTTGTTGAGATATAACCCACATACCATACAGTTTATCTATTCAAAGGGCACACTTAGTTTTTAGAATGTTCACAAAGTTGTATAACTGTCATCTAATTTTAGAACATTTTTATTACCCCCAAAAGAAACCCTCATAGCCCTTAGCCATCACCTCCCCCAACACATACTAATCCTAGCCCAATTTTTTCTTCAAATTTACATATTCTGAGGCTTGGTATAGTGGTACATGCCTATAATCACAAAACTCAGGAAGCTGAGGCAAGAGGATTGCCACCCTGGGCTACAGAATGAGCCCCTTTCTTAAAAACAAACCAAAACCCAGATTCAGCTTTTGCTCATTCTGGACATGTTCAGTAATAGACATGTTTGGTAAATAGTATTTTTCCTTTTGAGATTGGCTTCTTTAACAGCATATTTTTAGAGCTCATCCACATCAACATTGTCAGTACTTCACTACTTTCTATTGTTGCCCATTGTAAACACTGTATGTTGTATAGATATTATTTAGTCATTAACCGGTTAATGGACATTTTAGATTATTCTCTGGGGCTATTATCAATAATGCTGTTAAAACATTCATATACAAGTTTTTTGTTAATTTTTGAGATGTGGGTCCCCGTATATTGCCTAGGCTAGCTTTGAACCCCTGTCTCAAGTACTCCTCCTACTTAAGTCTTCCCAAGTACTGGTACTGTATCACTATACCCAAGTTGTGTAAAGTTTTTATGTGCAAGTATGTTTTTATTTCATTTGAGTAGATAGATACCTAGGAGTAGAATTGCTGGGGCATATCGTATCTTTGTGTTTAATATTTTAGTAAACTTAACCAGTGACTTTTTTTTTTTTTGGTCTTTTTGAGACAGGGGTCTCCCTGTAGCCCCAGCTGGCCTAGAATCCCCTGTGTAGACTAGGCTGGCCTTGAATTCACAGAGATCCACCTGTCTCTGTCTCCCGAGTGCTGGGATTAAAGGTGTATACCACCACCCAGCTAACTACCAGTAATTTTTAAAGTGTTTGCACCTTTTTACATTTCCACCAGCAGCATATGGGAGTTCATTGAAACTGTAAATTTCTCAAATAATATATATCTTTTCATGTACTTTTGGAACATTTTGTATATATGTGTGTGGTGTATGTTTGTGTGGGTATGTACACGTGCCTTTGAATGCACGTATATGTGTGTGTGTGTGTGTGTGCACGCGCGCGCGCGCCCTTGTGCATATAGAGGTCAGGTTTCCTCCTCTATTGTTTTCCACCTTATTTTTAAAATATTTATTATTTTTATTTTATGTGTATGCGTGTATTGCCTGCATGTAGGCAAGTGCACCTGTATCGTGCAATGCCCTCAGAAGACAGAAGAGGTTGTCACATCCCCTGGAACTGGAGTTATGGACAGTTGTTAGCTTCCATGTGGGTGCTGGGATTCCAACCTGGGTCTTCTGCAAGAACAGTTAGTGTTCTTAACCACTGAGCCATCTCTCCAGCCCCTCCACTGTATTTTTTAAGACAGGGTCTCTCACTGAATCTGAGCTTGCTGACTAGGCCAAAGAGCCAGTGAACTCCAGTGATTTCCCCAGTACTGGAGTTATAGATTGTACACCACTGCGCCTGGTTTTCATGTGTGTGTAGGGATCCAAATTCAGGTGTCATGCTTGCAGGGCAAACAGTTTACCAACTGAGCCATCTTCTCAGCTCCTAGAACTGTTTTAAGATTGTGGTATAGCAGTTCCTCAGACCTTTGCAGAGTTCTTTGACTGGGTCTTCCCCCTACTCTTACTGCTATTCTTTCCCCCCTGCCATCCCAGTCACCCCCAGTAACGTGAAACCCAGGTCCCTGTGAAAAAAGTATTAAAAAGGGCAACTGTTGGACACAACTCTGCCAGGAGGCCACCTTGCTAAACATTTGCCTTGTCTTTCTCATCGAGGTACTGGCCCCTTATTTGCTGAGAGATGGGGCTGGGGCCTATGATTTGAGTTCACCCATCATTGAGATTGATTGGGCAGAATGGAAGAGACACGTGGTTGAATGGAGGCCAAACAGAAGGATTCTGATTCTTGAGCATACAAACGTCAACCAATTTACAGTTCAATTTTTAATCTTATTAGCAAGTATTTCTTCCACCTCATAGATACCATTTAGTTCTGGAACCCCAAACTGTATTGAGTTCTCTAAGAATCACATAAGTGAAATTTAAGGCCTCAGGCTCAGAGTGTTCTTTAATAAAAACTTTCTGCTGAGCCATGTGAGTATGGACCAGCTGTTTTACGTATTTCCAGTGCCAAGATCAGCAGGTGAAGATACTGAAATACTTTGCAGTTTTTACATGGAATACCTTTGACACCAGAACCAAGCTGTGAAAGCCCTTTGGCTTCTGCTTTGCTTTGGTGGTGACATCCTCTAGCTGACTAGGTTCATTACAGTTAAGGACTGACTGAGAACTTGATTTGTGTTAGAGATGGAAGTAGTTAAATTCCAAAATTCTGGTAGGTACCATTTCTACCTTCTTCAAATGAGACCTCATTTCACATGAAAATCTCCATATGTTCTAGCTACCACTATACTACTTTGCTTTGATTCAGAGGTTGTTAGGCAGTTTCAGGGTTTGTCATAATTAAATTCACTTTAAGTCTGAAACTGCCTGCTCAGGACAATTCTGTACGGGTTTTGGTGAGATTTATGAGTTAGTGTAATTCCTACTCCAGATAGCTTTTTTTTTTTTCCATTTCAAAATAGCACACACAGGGCTGGGGATATAGCTCGGTTGATGAATGCTTGCCTAGCATGCACAAAGTCCTGAGTTTGCTCTCCACATAAATCATGCATGGCAGTGCATATCTGTAATCCCAGTACTTAAGAGGATCAGAATTTCAAGGTCTTCCTCCATTGGATAGTGAGTTTGAGGCCAGGCTGGGCTGCATGAGGCCCTGTCTCCAACAACAACAGCCCCCCCCCCCGACAGATCAGTGACCTATTTGACATTCCTGGAGTTTGGTCTTTTGGTGACTTTCCTAGAACTGAATACTGTAGGCACATATTCCCACTAGGAGGAGAAGGCAAAGAGGCACTTTTTCCCTCATGTGCCTCTTCAAAAGCCACTGGTCCTCCCCAGACACTCAGGAGACTTACACATCTGATTGGCCAGATCTAGGTAACTCATTCCTAAACCAATGACTGATAGGAAATGGGGGCCCATACTTCTTTCACATCTACCAGTGATAACCCATCACTGGTTCTGCCAGCGTGGAAAAGAGGAAGTTGGTTGTTGAATAGGCATCTGGCAGTGTCTCAGCAACCTCTGATTAGTGACTGCTGAACATGAGAGTCTCTTGTGCATGTTATTCCTGTTTATCTTAGTCTCCTGGCTCTTCAGTAAGAAACCCAAGTCTGTATATTAAATAAACCAAACTACCATTCACAGTATGTCAGAGTTTTGGTTCATAATTTAAATTTATGCCATGTAAGTCTACATAAGGTACTGTTCTTGAATATTCTGCTCATTTCATAAGGAAATAATGCAGGATGGTGTTTAGTGTCAATAACAAGGCAGGAATAGCTCTCTCAAGCCAGTGACTGAGCAGCAGGGAAATGGAAATGATCTAGAAAGACATTTAGGGTTAGGGATGACTCCGTGTATGCAGGTAGAGAGGGTCTTTGTGCCTAGCAATGCACAAAGTCTGCAGATGTAAGAGATGAGCAGAAAATGAGTGACCAGGCCTGACTGTTCCAGAAGGCATGTCATTCAGAATATATTGCTGGAGGGAGTGAAAGGGTCCCAGGATAATTTTCATCATCAAAACAGGCATGTATGCCTGATGTGGTGGTGCATGCCTTTAATCCCAGCACTTGGGGAGGCAGAGGCAGGTGGATCTCTGGGATCCAATCCAGCCTGGTCTCCATAGCAAGTTCCAGGCCAGCTGTGGCTACAGGGAGACCTTGTCTCAAAAAGATGCCCCCCCCCAAAAAAAAAGGCAAGTGTGGGGAAGACTTGGGAAGGTACAAAACGCTGTCCGAGGCTTGGGCTGTGCCAGGTGCATACTGCCTCTAGGCCTCCCTACCTGGCCTCAGGATTTCTGAAACATCCCCAGTGTGTTTCCAGTGGGTTCATTTGTAATGCAGTGTCCTTTCTTTGCAGCATGTGGACACAGGGAATTCTTACCTTTGTGGGTACCTGAAGATTAAAGGCCTTACGGAGGTGAGTGCTCATTGCTGGAGCTGGCTGAAAGTGAGTGGCTTACTCAGCAGCATAGTCCCATGTCTATCTAAGATCTCTCAAAGCTCTGTCACCAGGTGGGGAGCATAACTCCTGACAGTTTTTGTTGTTCTGTTAGGAAGTATATAGTCACAATTTTTTTTTCCGCTTTGGTCCTGGGAATGGAACCTAGGACTTCATAAATGCAAGCATGTACTTTACCACTGAGCTACACCCTCAGCTCCTTACAATATGATTAGTTTTTTGGGGTGTTGGATTTTTGGGAGGTTGGGTTTTTTTGTGATGATTGGGTTTTTTTTTTTTTTAGACAGGTTAGCCCAGGTTAGCCTCAAACTTGAGTTACTTCTGTCTCAGCCTCTGGAGTACTAAGATTACAGCTATGTACCATCATGCCTGGCAGTATTACTCCCTTTTTTAAGAAAAATGATAGGGACTAAAGAGATGGCTCATCAGTTAAGAACGCTTGCTGCCATCAGAGTTCATATCCAAGCACCCATATAACAAGCTGAGAATCCTGTGCATTCCTATAACCCCAGCTCCAAGGAGGGCAGAGACAAGAGAGTTGCTGGAACTTGCTGACTTCTAGCCTAACCAAGAAAATGTAAGCCGTAGGTTCAAGAAGAGACTGCCTCAAAGAAATAGGTGGAAAGTGATAAAGGACATCTGATACCCATTTCTACCTACATACACATACACACCTTTAAAAAAAAAAGAAAAAGAGGGACTGGAGAGACAGCTCAGTGGTTAAGAGCACTTGCTGCTCTTTCAAAAGATCCGAGTTCAGTTCCCAGCACCCATGTTGGGCAACTTACAACCACGTATAACTCCAGCTCCAGGGGGTCTGGTCCCTTCTTCTGGCCTTGGTAGACACCTGCACATACACATAAATAAGTTAATTTTTCAAAAGAAAAAGAAAAGTAGAGTGAAAACATAACTACCACCCTTATTATAAATTTAACCATCTCTGAGATAGTTGTCGTCAATCATACGAGAGGTTTTGGAAGTTTTTAAACCCTATGGTTCATTGGAATGGTGAAAAGTGAAAGTCTAGCTTTTAGCCTGCTGAGTAAAAATAGAGCAGTTTCTGTCTTCTGGCCCAACTTTCTAACCCTTGGGACTCCTGGGATTTAGAAGGCAAAGACAAGCATCTTTTTTTTTTTTTTTTTTTTTTTTTTTCCTTCTTCTTGTTTAGAAGAGGAAGAAGGATACCTACTAGTCACGAACTCCCCTTTGATGGGTGGTTGGGCATAACCCTACTGCAGCATCCTGTGGCCTTTTATTGTTTCATGTAGTCTTGATCAGCCAGCAAGACTGGGCTGGCTAGATAGAGTCTGCTATAGCCTCACTCAGCCCCTTTCTGAATCTGTGGCCTTTAATTTCTCAGGTCTCTTCCTTTCAGCTTTGGCATGTATAAAGTGAGAATTAAAAATCCCTGCTATGCTCCTCAGATGACTTGTCCTAGTGTGGTGCATGCTAAATGGCAATGTGGCCCAAATGTGGAGCACTACCCCTTGCTCTATGTGGCTTTAGCCTTCTCCTGCAGGAGTGAGTATTCCATTCCCTGGGATGTGTATTCCTGAGACAGAAGGTATCTTCCCCATCTCTGAAACTTATCCAATCAGAGAAGGATAGAAAGTGATGACAAAAAAGAGATTCTAGCTGGGCATGGTGGTGCATGCCTTTAATCCCAGCACTTGGGAGGCAGAGGCAGGCAGATCTCTGTGAGTTCAAGGCCAGCCTGGTCTACATAGCGAGTTCCAGGTCAGCTGGGGCTATAGGGAGACCCTGTCTCAAAAAGACCAAAAAAATAAAAAGAGAGAGATTCTAACTTTTGGATTTGTCCTAGGAGAAAACAAGTAGCAAAATATAGTATACTCAACTCAAGGCAGCCAGTACATTTGTTCATGGAATACAGAACATAACCTTTTAAGGAGACTAACAAAATATGTGATACTTTGGAACATTAGCAGTGACTCCAAAGGCAGTCTCTTGGGTTGTAAGAAACAGATTTGAAATGGTAAGTAGCTCTAGAAATCTGGAAACAGTATCCAGAAGTGCTAATAGTTAGAGCTCCTTCAAAAGCAAATTGCCCTACCTAGGAAAGTTCTTCCTGGGGAAAGGTGCTGGCATGGCCCTTGAATAGGGCTAGCCCACAGGGATCATCTGTGATCCATAGCTAAAGAGGCCTTGGGGGACCCATGCCTCCCCTGCTGGTCTGCGCACGTGCAGCACTGGGCTGTGCCATATGTCTGTAGAGCACTTAGTGAAAGGCAGTAGGTACATTGCCCGAGATTCCCACAGCCTGCCCAGGACACAGGATGCATAGAATTTTTCTTTAGTAACTTTTTATAGCTTTATACATACATACTTAACATACCAGGTAGCTCATCTATTTAAACTGCAGTTCTTTGGTGTTTGAAACAAAACATTACTATAGCCCTAGCTTGTCTAGAACTCACTGTTGTAACCCGGATTGGCCTCAAACTCACAGCCCTTCTGCCTTAGATTCCTAAGCACTGGGATCACAGGCATGCACCATTATACCTGGCTAAAATGTGTAATTCATTATAGGTTTTTAGTATAGTGACAGAGTTGTGCAACTGTTTAACTTATAGGTTCATAAATATAATGTGTGGTAGCTATATTTAGCCAAATACAGAAAACTGTAATGGATTGTTAAGTTTTGTTGGTTTTTTTTGCCTGTATTAATTGTTTTTATATGCTTTCCCATAAGTTTTAAAATATCAAATGTGAACTGGGCATAGTGGTACATGCCTTTAATCCCGGCACTCGGGAGGCAGAGACAGGGGGTCTCTGAGTTTGAAGCCAGCTGGGGCTACAGGAAGACCCTGTCTCAAAAAGACAAAAAAAAAACCTAATGTGGATTTACTCACTTATTACTGGCCTTCCTGAAGACACACACATAAAATTTAAAAATAAATTTTTGCCAGGCATGGTGGTGCACTCCTTTAATCCCAGGACTTGGAAGGCAGAGGCAGGAGGATCTCTGAGTTCAAGGTCAACCTGGTCTACATAGCAAGTTCCAGGCCACTTTGGGCTACAGAGAGACCCTGTCTCAAAAAGACCAATTAAATAAACAAGTAAATAATTTTTTTAGAGATTTCTACTAGGAAAGCCCCCCACCCCATTTCTTCAGTCTGTACATGTACAAGGCTATGAGAACCCCAGCCCAATACTGTTAGTGTAGGAGGTTGAAGTTCTGTAACTCCAGTTCCAGGGTAATCCGAGGCTCTCTTCTGACCTCCACAAGCACACTTACATATATGCAGCAGTACACTCATACACATAAAATAAAAATAATAAGCCAGCCATGGTGGCACATGCCTTTAATCCCAGTATGTGGGAGGCAGAGGCAGGTGGATCTCTGTGAGTTTGAGGCCAGCCTGGCCTTCATAGTTCCAGGACAGCTGGGGCTACAGGAAGACCCTGTCTCAAAAAGACCAAAATAAATAATAATAAATAGTTTTTTTAAAAAAAGAAAATGGAGGGAGGAAGACTAGGTAAATGGCACCATTGGTAAAGTGCATGCTACTAAGCCTGAGGACCTAAATTTAGATTCCCAACACCTACATAAAAAAGCCAGGTGTACCATACATGTCTGTAACCCTATATAGCAGGGATGGAGAAGGAGTATTCCCAGAGTTTGCTGGCCAGCCAGTCCAGCCAATTGTTGAGTACCAGATTCATTAAGAGACCTGTCTCAAAAGATGAGGTGAAGAACAGTAGAGGAAGACACTCTGACCTCCATACTCATGCACACACATAGCACATTCGTGAAAAATGAACAAGTTCTAAGGTGTAACTCAGTGGTAGAAAACTTGCCTATTGTGCATAAGACCCTGGATTCCACTCAGCACTGCAAAATATAATTTAAAAAGCACACTTCAGAAGTGGAATCACAGAACAGGCTTCCTTAGTGATCTTGGCCTTGCTATGAAATGTTTCCTAGTGCCCCTGAGCCAGAGGGCTGTGCAGTGTCTTTCAGGAGGGTCCTGAGTAAAAGAAGTGGCAAAGTTACCAGAATAGGTCATTTTAAATAAATGTACATTCAGAATAAGAAGTATGCAGTGCAAAGGTGGGCCCGCTATAGTCCTTGGACCAGCAAGGAGTAATCTACCATTTCCTAGCCAATTATTCACAAACTAACCCCTGAGAAAGCCCAGGGTCTTGACCAGTGAGGGTAAGGGGTTGATTGGTTGATTGTTGAAGTTTTCTTTTTTGTTTTGTTTTGTTTTGTTGTTGTTGTTGTTTAATTTTTTTATTTTTATTTTATGCGTATGAGTAGGTGTACTTGTGTTGTGCAGTGCCCAAGGAGGCCAAAAGAAGGTGCCAGATCTCCTGGAACTAGAGTTATGGGCACTTGTTTGCTGCCATGTAGGTGCTGGGAATCAAACTCAGGTCCTCTGGAAGAGTGGCCAGTGCTCTTAACTGCTGAGTCATCTCTCCAGCCCCCTTATTGGTGGTTTTGAGAAACACAGAAAAATGGTAGATGTTTTACTGTGTTAAATTTTTATTCCATTATTTTCTTTCTAAACAACTATTACAGCTCATTTTTTAAATCGTGTCTTTGTAAAATGGTTGTATTTTATATTACAGACATGATTTACATATTTTTCTTATATAAATTATCCTTAATTCATATGACAGAATTAAATGTTTTTTCCATCATATCTTAGGTATATCTTCCAAAGATGTTTCCAACCCTGGAAACTTCAAGAATAGGGGTAAAGGAGGCAAAGGACAAGAGAACTTGAGAGTGAGGGGAGGGCTGCTTGTCTGGGGTCAAGGGAGACTCAGCTCTGGACACCAGTTTTGGAGCCTCTTTGGATATGCGCTCTAGAAAGTAGAGTCTGCTAAGTTGTGCTCTGCTTTGTCTGTAGAAGAGTCCAAGTCTGTGGTAGAAAACACAGAAATCCTTTTCCAAGAAACCAGAACTTGGCAAGTTGAAGTCAAAGAAGAGCTCTCTGCCCTGACAAAGTCCTCAAAGTCTTAGAGCCCCTCCACTATTTGGGCAGCTAAATTCAGGTTCATTTCACAGTCTGTTGGCAAATCAGCAGGATCTAGCCATATAGTTGATCTTGTCAGAGCATTAGGAAGAAGTTATAGCAAGATTGATTCTTTCCATAAGATGAAAATAGGAGGGGCAGGGGGCTCAGTAGGAGAGCACATTTTTGGCAGGCATGAGGCCCTGGGTTCTACCAAGACAATGGTAAAATGTTCATTCAGGGTCTGAGTATATAGCTCAGTGGAAGAGCAATCACTCAGCATGTGCAGAACCCTGAATTTAGATCTCCAGCATACTGCAAACAAAACCAGAAATGTTCATTTAATGTCTTGCTTGGATAATTTGCCTTTTGCTATAGGAGTATCCGACCCTTACGACCTTCTTTGAAGGGGAAATAATCAGCAAAAAACACCCTTTCTTAACTCGCAAGTGGGATGCAGATGAAGATGTTGATCGGAAACATTGGGTGAGTAAGGCTATGCTCTGCCCTGGGCAGCAGAGGTCAACTGGAGACTGCAGACCTGCAACCAGAGGCCTTCCCCCTCACTGAGAGTTAGTTGGGGCCTATTCCCACACGCAAGCCACAGTTGCCCCACTATCCTGAAGAGAGTTCAGATTCTGCTGATCCTCCTTTTTTTATTATTATTACTACTATTTTATTGCCTGAATGTTAAGTGCACCTGTATCGTGCAGTGCTAAGAAAAGGGCATTAGATCCCCTGGAACTGGAGTTACAGACAGTTGTTAGCTGCCATGTAGGTGCTGGGAACTGAGCAAGAGCAGTTAGTGCTCTTAGCCATTGATCCATCTCTCCAGCCCCTAACCTTTTTTTTATTATTAGTTTTTTTATGAGTGTCTTGCCTGTATGTATATATGGAGTTTGAGTTATAAACAGTTATGAGCCACCATGTAGGTGCTAGGAACTAATCTTAGATCCTCTCCAAGAACAGCCAGTGCTCTAAACCTCTGAGCTATTTCTCCATCCCTGATCCTCCTCTTAAGTAACACAATCCCCAAGTTCCATGCACAGCTCAGTACAGCTATTAGAATTGGCCAGTGTCCTCTGTCCTGCCCACCTGTCTGCTCATCTTTTCCTATCATCAACTACTCCTGTCATCTCTATATGGGGAAACCCCATGAGACAGGTAGCAGTTGCCTCTCATGTCTGGGTTGGCCCACAGCAGACATGCTGTTCATGGAAATCCAGTGAGGGCAGAACTGCCTTGCTTCTTTTTGTCTCATCCTAATAGACTCAGGACAGACTTAACCTACAAACAATCCAGATAGTGCTGAGAAATTCAGGTTCCCTGTCCTTAGTGTGCAGTATTCTCATTCCCCAGTGGTAAGCATTTCAAGACAATTTAGAGCTACTGCCCTGAGCTCTCTCCTCTGGTTATTATACAAGTTTTTTGTCTTCAGAAATGTGTTTTGTTTGTTTGTTCTTTGTTTTGTTTTATTTTATGTGTATGGCTGTATTGACTACATATATGTAAGTGCACCCATGTCATGCAATGCTCTCGGAGTTCAGAAGAGGGTGTTGGATTTCTCTGGAACTGGAGTTATAGACAGTTGTTAGCCACCATGTTGGTTCTGGGAATCAAACCCAGGTCTCTTAACCACTGAGCCATCTGTCCAGCCCCTGTTTGTTTTGTTTTTGTTTTTGTTTTTGAGACAGAATCTCCCTGTAGCCCCAGCTGGCCTGGAACTCACTAGGTAGACCAGGCTGGCCTGGATCTCATAGAGATCCACCTGCCTCTGCCTCCTGAGACCTGGGATTAAAGGTGTGCATCACCATGCCCAGCCTGTTTGTTTGGGGTTTTCTTGGGGGAAATGGGGGTTGAAAACTTTGGGGGTTTTTGTCTTGTCACAACAACCTTCGGCTTAGTCACCCATGGTGACAATGACTTTGGTTTGGGGGTTTGTTGTTTGGTTTGGTTTTGTGTTTGATTGTTTGTTTGTTTGTTTGTTTGTTTGTTTTGAGAAAGGGTCTTCTTTTATAACTCTGAGTGGCCTGAAACTCAGCCATCCTTTTGCCTCAAGTCTCCCAAATACTGGAATAACAGTTGTGGGCCACCATGCCCAGCTGCTTTTGGTATTGGAGACAAGTCTTGCTATGTTTATCTTGAGTTTACACTGTGAGACAAACTGTACTTGTGCTACCATTTTCTCTAGAACCAGACCTGGTCTTGCACCCTCAAATTACCTGTGAATGACCCTTAAAGCTGATGTCATGGTCATCAAATCAAGATTCCATATGTCTCATATTTACATGACAACATCTAGCACTTAGTATGTTGTGTATACCTTTTTGTTTTTTTTGGTCTTTTGGAGACAGGGTCTTCTTATAACCCCAGCTTGCCTGGTGTGGAACTCACTTTGCAGACCAGACTAGCTTGAACTCACAGAGATCCACCTGCCTCTGCCTCCTGAGTGCTGGGATTAAAGGCATGCACCACCATGCCTGGCATACTTTGATTCATGTGTACCTTTAAACTTTGACCTTTACTTTAGATGATTTTTTGTTTTTGCTTTTGTTTGGTTTTTTTTTTTTTTTTGAGAAAGGGTCCCCTTCTAGCATCAGCTAGCCCTGAACTCACTATGTTGACCAGGATTGCCTTTATCTCACAGAGATCCACCTGTTTCTGCCTCCCAAGTGCTGGGATTTAAGTGTGCTACCACACCCCGCTCAAATGTTTTCTTATAAAGTACGTGCTTACTTAAAAATATTTGGAGACCAGGCATGGTGGTGCAGACCTTTAATCCCAGCACTCAGGAGGCAGAGACCAGTAGATCTCCATGAGTTCAAGGCCAGCCTGGTGTACATAGTGAGTTTCAGACCCAGCGCCCCCCCCACCCAATTTTTTTTTTTTTTGAGAAAACAAGCTACAGTGGGTGGATCTATAAAGACAATGAGTAAAACTAGGCAAATACTAATCTCCCTCTGACTCTTGTGGGTCCTTGTATCTGTGAGTGTGTTCAACTGACTGTGGATTGGAAATGTTTGAGAAAAGTGGCTCATTGGTCTAGAAATGTGATTCTTGCTTAGGGTACAAGAAAATGTTAGTAAAAAATATTGTGCCTCAGAATGCATAATAAACTACTTTCCTTTGTCATTTTTCTCTGCACAGTACAGTATAACAACTGTCTGTAGAGCATCCACATTGCATTCCAGTAACCTAGAGTCTATTAAAAGTGTCTAGAAGAATGTACACAGGTCACCTACAGATACTGAACCATGTTATCTGAGGGACTTGAATGTCTGAGGATTTCCATGCCTGTGGAGGGTCCTAGACACCAAAGGATAGCTATAGGTTCTTTGGTTTGGTTTGGGTTAGATTTGGGGGTTTTTTGTTGTTGTTGTTGTTGTTTTAAATCTGTTTGAGTCAGGGTCTCCTTGTATCCCTAGATGACCTGGAACTCAACTATATAGACCAGGCCTTGAACTCACAGAGATCTGTCTGCCTCTGACTCCCAAGTGCTGGAATTAAAGATGTGTCACCACACCCAGTTGAGGTCTCCTTTTTTAATTTGTCCCCTTCCCAGTTTCTACCTGAGTAGCTGTAGTTCCATCCATGTAGATACTGGGAAGTTCCCTCTCTCTCTCTCTCTCTCTCTCTGAACACTCTGGCTTCCATGTGCACCCATTCTCTCTCCCTCTCTCCCTCTCCCTCTCCTCCTCCCCTCCCTCTCCCCCCTCCCTCTGCCTCCCCCTCCCTCTCCCCCTCCCTCTCCCTCTCCCTCTCCTCTCCCCAGCCTAGGGAGTCCTTGAACTTCTGTCCTTGCCTCCCAAGTGCTGGGATTATAGATATCTGTCCCCACACCTGGCTTTTACTAAGTGGCTTGGATGACACTTTTTTGTTTTTGAATTTAGTCTGTGTGTGTAAGAGAGAGAATGAGTGGGTAGAGGGTACACGAATACACATATGTGCCCATGTGTATGGAAGCCAGAGGTCAGCATCAGGTATCTTCTTCTGCACAGTTTATGAGACAAAGTCTTCCACTGAGCCTGGATCTCAGCAGTTGGCTCCCCTGACTTACCAGTGAGCTACATCTAGGCTGTCTATCAAACTCCCAGCATTAGGATCACAGATGCATACCACCATGCCTGGCTTTTATGTGGGTGTGAGGGATCCAAACTGAGGTTCTCATGCTTACATAAAGGTACTTTACCAACTGAGCCATCTCTGCAGTCCATTTTGGTTTTTTAGGACAGAGTCTCATGTGGTCCAGGTTGGCCTAGAACTTACGTTGTAGTTAAGGATGACTTTAAACTCTGAATCCTCCTGCCTACACCTCCCAAGTGCTGGGACTTGAGGTCTGCACCACCACCAGCAGCTCCAGCATCACTCTCCTTGTCCCTCCATATTTCCTTACAGAGCTCTCGTGAATCTGCCTTAGCTTTTGTGTTCTAGTGGTAAGGTGTTCTGGAGCTGTGCTTATTTCCACCCCTTGACCTTTTCTTCCAGCTGTGCTCACTGGACACATGCTCCAATAGTGCCTCAGATGTAGTTTGGGTCTGTGTCTACTGTATGACCTTAGCAACTCTTTCCAAGACACATGAACTCAGACACCACCCTTTCCTCATGTGGATCACTGAAACTCTGTTTTTCTTTTAGGGCAAATTTCTGGCTTTTTATCAGTATGCAAAATCATTTAATTCAGATGACTTTGATTATGAAGAACTGAAAAATGGGGATTATGTCTTCATGAGGTGGAAGGTAAGATTGCCCAGGCCATCTCCCTGCACTCCCAGGCACTAGCTCCTGTAGTGCACCTGCTCTTGCTCTTATACCTCCCCACAGGGACTCTATATTGAGTGCTTATCACTCAATTACAAGTGTATACACACTTGTAAAAAGCAGTCATGGTGAGGCTCCAGAACATACATGGCTCAGCTGCTTCTCTTGTTACACTTTTTAGGGGGGCAACAGGTGAATTCGTGCCAGTGGGTACCCCTGATGCTGTGTTATCCTCTCCCTTGTCTTCTCCCACCCAGGAATCCCTGTGCATCTCCAGGATGGAGGTTGGATAAATGCCCTGGCGATCCTTAAGGAGCTTTACTTGAACCTAGCCTTTACTACACTGTATTCCATGAGCTTAAATACCATCAGAGAGTCCAACCACATCCTCTACCCTGGGCCTCTACTTCCCACAGCTCAGGAAATGAAGGACCAGGAATGGAGCATGGGTTTTCCCTCCCTGGCTCTTGGCTTTATCTGGTGCCCCCCCCCCCCAGTGGATTGGCCTTTCCCTAAGAGTCCTGTGTCTCCCTGCTATGGCAGCATGTTCTCTACAACTACATGGAAAGCCATGGAGCAAACTTGTATGAAATTTTGGAAATACATGCCCACCTTCAGTCCCCAGTGTCTGATCTGTAAGGAAAAGGAAAGCTATTTGAATGTGGTACTTTACAGTTTTCATAAAGACCAGTTATCTGAAGTGGCTGCTCCCTGTCTGTACTTTGTGTTGCTGATCATTTGGGAAGTGGAACATGGCTTCCTCGGTAGAGTCACATGAGAGCACACACTGAGCCTCCCTCTGCAGACTGCTTTCTGGTGCATGCTAAGCCTCCCTCTCCAGCCCACTGTCCAGCATACACTGAGCTTCCCTCTCCAGCCCAGTATCCAGTGCACACTGAACCTTCTCCAGCACACTGTCCAGTGGAAAGCATACCAGCTAAACCTTTAAAGCACTTTCCCTGATGTTTAAATTAATTTAATTTTTTTCTCTCATTGCTGAGGATGTAACTTGGGGCTTTGCATATACTAGGCAGGTGCTCTGTCACTGAGCTAGACCTCGACCCTAAATTAAAACTTAAAACAATAATTCTAAGGGTTGACTAAGGCAGAGAAGTGTCCCATTAAATAATTGGAGAGGGTGTTAGGAGCAGAATTTATGGCAGAACATTTGCCCTAGCATGTACCACTTGCCTACCAGGTGCAAGGTCTTGGATTTCATCCCCAGCCCTGAAAAATAAATGAAAACTGGGGCTGGAGAGATAGCTCAATGGTTAAGAACACTGGTTGTTCTTGCAGAAGACCCGGGTTCGAATCCCAGCACCCACATGGCAGCTAACAGTTGCCTGTAACTCCAGTCCTAGGGGATCTGACAGCCTCTTCTGACCTCCACTGGGCATTGCATGACACAGGTACACTTACCTACATGCAGGCAATACACACATACACATAAAATAAAAAAATAAATATATATATATATTTTTTTGTCTTTTTGAGACAGTGTCTCCCTGTAGCCCCAGCTGTCCTGGAACTCACTATGTAGACCAGGCTGGCCTCGAACTCACAAAGATCCACCTGCCTCTGCCTCCCAAGTGCTGGGATTAAAGGTAAGCACCACCATGCCCAGCCAATAAATAAATAATTTTTTTTTAAAAAAGAATTAAAAGCTTTTTAAAGTAATGGAGTTATCTCTAAAGAATTTCTCTTAGGGTAACACATGGAATTTTGGTTGGCCTCCAGAGGTCCTGGGGCTTCTGACCCCATCTCCCAGAAAACAGGAGCAAGGACATAGCCTTTCGCCACCAGTACAGGTGGCAAATTTGCCTGTCTTTATAATGTGTCTGGCACTAACAGTGCTGTTCTTATGGCTTTGATGAGGTATTGAGCTTTGACAAGGTGTCACAGGGGTTCCTGCCTCAGAATGACCACAGACTGATTGGAGGTATTCGGAGCCCAACAAACAGTTCCTGGAAACCAGAACTAAAGTGTGCTCTTCCCAAGTTATTCTGTCAGAGGTCTCTGAGAGGTAGATAGAGAAGCAGGAAGATGGATATTAATTAGTCTGTTAGATCCCCAGCCATGGTCCCTTCTCTTGAGTTGCTGATCTTTATGAGCTCACCACAGGGGTTTGACACTTTAGTAGGAAAAATGCTTCAGTGACACATGAATACCACCTTGAACTCAAGCAGAGACCCTGCACTTGAGCCTGACCATGTGGTCATAGTTTTGTTGTTGTTTTGTTTTGTTTTTTCTGGTGGTTCTTAGAGCCCTCTGGTGCCTTACTGAGAGGCAGGGTTTTGACTGATCCCACATCTGTGTGCAGGAGCAGTTCCTGGTTCCAGACCACACAATCAAAGACATCAGCGGTGCTTCCTTTGCTGGCTTCTATTACATCTGCTTTCAGAAGTCAGCAGCCTCCATAGAGGGTTACTACTACCATCGCAGTTCAGAATGGTAAGGACCTCCTGACCAGGGCTGCAGCAAAGCCTGCCCCCACCCCAGCCATCAGTCTACCTCTGTCTAAATTCCATACTCTGTGTTGGTGCTGAGGCCCTATTTAAATGATCTCACTTGCTCAGAATAGGGGCTGATTCTTTTTGTTTGGTTTTGGTTTTGGTCTTTTTGAGACAGGTCTCCCTGTAGCCATAGCTGACCTGAAACTTGCTATTATAGATTAGGTCTGGCCTTGAACTCACAGAGATCTGCCTGCCTCTGCCTCCCAAGTGCTGGGATTAAAGGTGTGTACCACCACACCCAACTAGTGGCTCATTCTTATCCATAGAGTGAAGTAAACAAAATGGATAAAAAATGTAAAGTTCATTTCTAGGTGTGCGCGCACGCGCGTGCGTGCGTGTGTGTGTGTGTGTGTGTGTCTCGCGTGTATGTTACGGTACTATGGGTGGAACCCAAGGCCTTGTACCTGGTGGGCAAGTGCTCTACCACTGATCCACACCCAGTAGGTGCTTTCAAGCAATCCTACATTTTCAGCAATTTTACCTCAACCTTCGTAGTTTTGTACTTATTCCTTGCAAATTTAGCAGTCACTATAATGTAACCTAATCCCTTGTGGACAGCATGACTTTTGCTTTCGTGCATTTCCTCTTGATCTGATGAGCTAGGGGCCATGTGAGTTGGCTCCCTGCCTTATGTTCCTCCAAGACCATCAACAGAAGGCCACCTCAAGTGCTGTCTTTTGCTACTTTTGGGGGACCCGCCTTCCTCTTTGCTGTCTGCCTCAGCACCTTGCTATACCTTGAAGGTGAGCCAGATCAGAAAGAGTTGGTTTCTTCTCTGACAATTGTTTCCTTTCAAATTTTATAATCTTTTAACTTATAAGTGAACTTAGCCTTGTTTGATTCAAATTCTTTGTTGGTGGATTTACTGGGTTGGACAGTAATTCAGCTCAGTTTTTAAAACTTTTCATAATCTATAACATCTGACCTTTGTGTCTGGCATCTCACCAGGCATAATGCTCTGAAGAATCCATATTGCAGCACATGTCAGAACTTTTATTTTTTCCATTTTTGAGACATCCTTCACTCTGTACCCCAAGCTGGCCTAAAACTTAGGGCATTT